TTTTTAAACAGCAGGAAATCCATCTATTCCGAAATGGGCGCTTCACACTGTAGGCCTAGTTTAGTGAGAATACACTGCCGTGCAAGTAAACAGGACTAAAATGGACTCTTTTATTCAGTTTAAGTTTCTAGACCAAGTAAGAATTTAGTCAGGCTATTGTTTGCATGTAGACACAGTTACTTAGTGACTTTTCCACCTGAGTAGATACTAAAACACTGTTAGAAATAAAGGTTCTGTGCTGGTATATTTTTCATTCATCAAGGTAAAACAATGAATATGTTCCCTCAAAGGTACAACAGTGGTTTTAAGGTCCAACTGTGAACCTTAAATACGTTTTTCAGGTGAAAAGTATGTGTTTGTATCTTTTCATAACCTAATGTTTTAAATCAGAACAATAAAATAAAAGCCTGGAGACGAGACGGGGCGTGTGGAGTCAGTACAACTTAGAAAATATCATTTCAATGGATTATGGAACCTTAATGTTCCCTGACTAAAGGTACTGAGATGTACCCTTGAGGGTCCCACCCCAGTGAAAAGAGGGGCACTGCCCCAGTGACAGTTTCATACCTTTATTTCTGAGAGTGTATGTAAGTGTACATATGATAAATCTTGTTTCTTTTTTATCGACAGTGTTCATACTAAAGCTAGATTGTGTCCAAATACTCAACTTGAATGCTACGGTAGCTGGTTTTCTCTTATACAGGCCAAATGTGTAGCAAACGTTGAGCCTCATTCATCAATATCTTCTAAGTTTGCTCTTAAACTGGTTAAACATTCTACGAAACGTCTACGTCAGATTCACGACTGGGCTTTAAACCGCAGATCTGTTCACATCTTTGTGCTCTTAAGAGTCTGTTCCTACCTAAGAACAAATCCCAAATAAGAAAACATTGGTGAATGTCAGCCCTGCTGAAAAAGGACCTTTAGAGCCCAATAGGAAACCATCAAGTGCATTTAGAATCAGCTATTGGTCACCTGTTAAACCATTAGGGTCCTTTACATTGTGATATCAACCCATTAAAAAAACACATTACAAAACCAATAGAAGCACAAAGGTTTCTATGGGTTTCTTCAGCAGGGAGAACCTTCGTGAAAACTGCGTGAACACTGGATTTTAAGAAGAAATTTCTTCTTAAGACTGGTTGGTGACTGAGACCCATTAAGCTGGGCAAAGAAACTACAGAAGAAGCTTCATTACATTCACTTCACTTTTGTAGCTGCTGCCATCTAAAGGCCATAAGTAAGTACTGCATGTATACTGACAACGATAGCAGTGGGAGTGAAAGCACACACACACACACACACACTTAATTAAATGAATGAATGAATGAGTAAATAAATAAATAAAATCATGAAAAATCAAATCAATTGACCGATTCAACAATTAATCACAGTATTGAGACAAGGACAAGAAACTGAAGAAGAAAAGGACAAATCTCTTTCGGTTAGTGAAGTGAAACATTTTTGCAGTTGCTTGAGATGAAAATGGCTTCAGTGTTTGAAACTCCAACAAAAAACCAGTCACACCTGAGGTCAGAGCTAGAAGGGAAAAAAAAAAGAAAAAAAAATCTGTTTTTTTTTGTTTTTTTTTACAAAAGCTCCTTTCATTTTTAAAAACTGATGCAGCCATTTGGTTTTGGTTCCTGAGGTTAAGTTTAGGATTAACCTTAAAAAATTATATACATATACATATACATACATATATATACATATACATATATATGAGGTTTTGTTCTTACAGCAATGATACATATATATCTAATTCCTCTTACAGGTATTTACAGTACTGTGCCAAAATTCTCGGGTACCTAAGCGAAGTGTTTAAAACCATTTTTTAGTGTGTTTTGCCTGTAAAACTCAATATAACAAATAACATTAAGCATCAATACAGTAAAAAGCGACAAGAATGTCTTGTCTTCAGTAAAGTTGCTCAGATATTGTGAGCTGGTCAGAAAGACACAGGTTTGGTTCTGGACTTTAATGTGTTAAACAAACAGTGACATACATATAATCACTACTTATTTAATATTATTTGTATTTATTTATTGTAATATTAGTGTATTCATATACATTGTTACATATAGGTACTAAAACACTGTCTGACACCATGTACTAATGCAGTTCTTGTGTGTCTTGATTGGTTTGGTGTACATTTGGTCAAAGCTGCTACATCACAAACATCCATCAGAAATATCTGCTTCTACTACAGATCCAACCTCAATAACCAAACTCACTGAGCCAAACACAGCAGCAGTGGTGTCTGAGTGTTATCAGCTGCGGTTGTGGTCTGGGTTCAAGTGCTGGAGAGTCTTTCAGTCCAAACTGTTATATTCAGATGAGCTCTATCCAACTCTTAATAGTCCTGAGGAAGCTGTGCAGTCGCTGAAAAAGCTGTTTACACTTCCCTGCACACTTCTTTACAAAAGCTCAATGACACGAGCCTTTCAGGCTGTAGGCTTGAGTTCAGGTTAGCCAGAGAATGAGCTACATGAGGCCAGCGAAAGGCTTTTCTACGCAGCTCATGGGCATTCGAGGGGAAAGGAGTAGAGAACGCTTAGTTTGTGGGATGAACTGAGGAGTCTTAAGTTCTACACAAGGCGGGCCAGATTTAGTGACTCTTGGGCTCTTGCCAAAATACCGAAATGCGCCCCCCCGAATGATGTAGATTCATAATTTAGTTGAGGGTCTGGACTCCCTAGTGGCGCAACCATCTACACTGCAAAAAATGACTTCATGGCAAGTGAAATCATTTTAAATCTAGTCGATATATCTGATATTTCTCATTTTTTGATCGTTAAGAATATTATAAGATTATTTAACCCCCTTAAGATTAATTAAATCCCTTAACAAGGGCCAAACGTTTATTACACACTTGTATAACCTAAAAACAGCTTCATTAGTTTGCATTGAAGTCCCTGTAGTTACTGAAAAATAGGTCTTTGTAGGAACCCGGAGTGTTAAGGGGTTAAACTTATTATTACACACTTTTTACACTTCAGTAATTTTACTGCACAATACTGGCAGACAATTTTGCTTGTTTCAAGAAATAATTCTTAAAACAGGCAAAATTATTTATTTATTATATAAAACAGTACAATGTAAAGACGTGATGTCCTTAATACTTTCCTTAAGTAGTAAGTAAGGATCCTATTACAATCTGAGAGAAATGATTAGTAATGTGTAGAATAATGCTAACATTATGCTGAGCTACAGGTACCGACTGCTAACGCCAATCCAGAGCTGCTGTAAAAAGAAAGAGAAACACATGGAAAAGTGTGTAGTGACTGTCTCTACTTTTTTTGCTACATGCACAACATATTAAAACAGGGTTATTAATCCGCCTTAACCTCCACGCCAAATGTAGTCGATCAGCCAAGGTATGTTTGGTGTCTGAAATTTGCTTCTTTAGTTTTAGCACTGCAGCTATGAGGCTAATGGAGCTAACAAATAATGGGAGTTTATACCCCAGATGTTTAGCATAGTTAGCGTACCATTACCACTGAAAACGTCCTACAGTGGAAAACGTTCTGGCTTCAAGATGGCTGCTACTACCATTTTAGCAATGCTCATGTATTTTTTGTCCATGTTAATGGATGGCAGATGTTGTGTGGTGTCAGAAACCACACAAGCAAGTCTATAGAGATGGCTTAAATGGACTTGAGGCACGTGATCATGTTGGCAGTGTAGCTAGCGCTACAATATTAGCCTCACATCAAAGCTAACATTAAAGAAGCAGAGACCAAATTCTACAAAATTCTTTATAATGAAATGGTTTGGATGTAAACAGAGTCACTCAGAGTGGTTTGGTGTGAAAAGCTCAATTTTAGAGAAACTTGCTGAGTCAGAATTGTTCACAGTGGTGGTGATGGGAACCAGACGTCCACCTCTAAAAGCTCCCTCACAGAAAGTTATTACATGAAATGGTTAGAAATCCCTGCTGAAAAAAGACCATTAGAACCATTAGGATTAAAACACAATGGTTTTGCTTTCTAATCTGAATTGGCTTAATGGTTACCATTAGAGACCACCAGTTTTTCCTGTATGACACCTTTAGATTCCATTAAGAAACCATCAAATGCATCTGGAATCAGTCCCGCTAAACCATCAGAATCTTTTACAATGAGATATCAACCCATCAGGAAAACATCAATACAATAGTTAGTACTGGACACCACCAGAACAACCATATGCTGCCTGATGTCTGATGCGCTGCTCTATGATAGTTTCATGATAAACTTTTGGCTTAAAATGTATTCTAATTCATTCATGGCGGAGGGGTACATGTACGGTGTTATAAGGCAAAATAGTCTCCAATAAACCCTTACTTTTTCAGGTTTACCACTAATTTACCTTCAACACTATTCCATATAAAACTCTGAAGACACGTGTCGGTTCACTGGTGGTTCTAGATAGTAAATAAACTGGCTATATTTGTGTTGTAGACATGGTGACCCCTGGTTCCTATCACTACCACTGTGAAGAAGTCTGATTCTGTAAGTTTCTCTTCAGTGAAGCATTTCACACCAAAACCACTCGGAATGACTGTTTAGAAATTTAAAAAACTTTAAGAAATCGGTGGAATAGCCCTTTAAGGGGAGCCTAGTCACTTCCTGTTTCTCCCATTATATCAAAAAATATGACTGCAAAACACTAAAAGGTGCTATAGGGAGTCATTTTGGACTAACTCAGGAGCGCCCCCTAGAGTTTGACAAACCCAGAAGACATTATCGAGCTGCAATTCCCCTCACTGCACATTCTCTGATTAAACCCTGCCTTGGCCGATCGACTACATTTGGGCTAAAGGAGAAACTGTGTGAATCTGATTTGTGGCCCAACTATCAGAAGCTGACAGAGTGAAACTGACAGTTTGCAACCCACTTTAACACGACGATGAATTACTAACACATAGGACGCAATATGTGACGGTATTTAGTGATCAAAGGCATCGACATTCACCTCAGCAAGAATTTACTTGTTTAGAAATAACCACCAAAAACAGGTCAATATTTAATATCTTTATTTCTTTAAAATAACATATCAAAGATATTTGTGTTACCGGTAGAAAAAAAAACAAACAAAAACAATCACTATGAATATACAGCACAGGACGAAACGAATATTTTTCCAATTAAAAGCACTTGAAAGGTTCGGGTAAGGCCTTAATATCCATCCTCGTGCGTATTGATGCTCGTCAATTATGGCTTTTTAAAAGGAAGCGCATGAGGAGACGCATTAAGGCACTGTGGCAGCGCTCACATCGCAGTGATTATAAACACATACAGAAATCTGGATAGCTGGAAAAAAGTGAAAATACTGATTTCAAATCATTCTTAGGCAGATCGCTGTCGTAACAAAACCTCGGACTTTTACAGGAACAGGAAAAAGTGTTCTTAGCTTTTAATGCTAGTGAATGCAAAGTAACTTTGGACTGTTTTTATTGGTTCATTCATCATGAAGGTGCAGCTGTTTTAACTGGGTAGAACAAGGTTTTCATAGGACAACTTTAGCGTTAATCTAACAGTATGATACATTAATGTGTGTCAGTGTCACCAGATTTTATTAGGCAGTTCTGTTCATACATTGCCAAGCGCCAACTGTGAAAAAAGGAAAAAAAAAATCTTGCAAGAAAAACAAAACAGAAAAAAGAGGTTTTGATATGACAGCTACGCTGTGAAGGGTCTAATCTAACAGTACCACGAGCGCACAGCCGTATTTAAAAAGATTGTAGCACATTCTTTATCATCAGCTAAAATACTCCACCACGCACTTCACAGCTCGAGCCCACATTCTCCGAAAAACTCACAATGAGAGGAACGTTTCAGGAATTTCTTTGGATCGGAAATAAGTTTCGGGTTACGGGCATAAAAACTTAAGCTTTACTGTGCAATCTATCCATCTTGGATCTCTTCACAGTCCTATACAAATCCTCAAATCGTGGCTTCAGGTCTGATTGGGTTTATATGTATGTACATAGCAGAGTGAAAGCAAGGAATCAGGAGCTTTCCCATAAACTCAAACGCAAGCATTTAAAAATAAAAGCAATAAAATGCAACCCTCCAACGGGGCATCAGGCAAATACAAGCATTTCGGAACTGGACAGGGAATTATTGGCATTCCAGAATGAGCTCATTTTGGCACAAAGGTGATGCAGTTCAGGCACAGTTTAACCAAAGGATGCTAATTAACATATCAGTGAATAAAAGGTAATGTTATTATTAATGAGCTTTTACTCATCCTTAATTATGGTGTTTGATAAAGCAGGCAAAAAGACCCCACAGACGCAGATCCAAAAGCACCCGCACTGTGGCCTCTTCCGCAAACCTGACACTGTCAGAGTGCAGTGGTGCAGGTGGGATTAGTGTCGGATGGACACTGAGGATCTGGCGCCTCACTGCACTTTCACACAGAGGAGAGACAGCCATCAGGTGATCAGGCAGGGAAGCTATGGGATGTTACGATAAACACTAACACTCTAAAAAAAATATCTGTGAATGAATTTGGGGGTTTCTTTTGAAACTGGAGCTCTTTTAGGAACCATTAATGTCTCAACAGCCGATCACGCTTAAAGGCAGACTGGGCTTCTCCAAGCGGAGCACTGTAAAATGGTTCCTGGAGGCATTTTTCAGAGTCCTGCTGGTGGGCGATTCGAAGAACAGAAAAAAATAAAAGATTTGTTTTTAGAGCGCAGGGTAAAAAGTGACAATTCTTTATAGCACTGCTTTGCTTGGTCTCAAAAGAGGCCCTATAGTTTCTAAACTCCACTTCGCCGTTTAATTAACCTCTATGCTCCGCCCACACGTTTTCTGAAGCAACTGCTACCAGGTTGGACAAAGTTCAGAGAAAGGAAACGTAGCACACAGCTCAGTTTTTGTTTTTACGGTGAATTCAGCTCAACGGAAATGTACCGACAGATGTGGTGATACAAACCAGTCAAAGGAATTAATGCCTCTAAAAGCTCCATCACAAAGTTATTACATGAAATGGTTAGGAATACACTGCCTGATGTCTGACACACTGAGTTATGATAGTTTAGCGCTAATATCTTGGCCTAAAACATATTTTAAAAATCATAATCATGGTGGAGTGGTCTGTGCCGAGTAAAATAAATGCTATATCTCAATCACTGGTTTTTGAAAATTTTGAAAAAATTGGTGGAATTCTCCTTTAATTTTCAAATGATATTTATTCTGTAGGTGTAGTGGTTAATTAAGTCTCGGTTCCCACTTGTCCTTAGGTACCTTAAAAGGCACTTGTAAATAAAATTATATTATTATTACTATTTTTATTATTATTATTATTGTTATAAACAGAGAAACAACGTCTAAAGCAGCTCTAAACAGGCATAGATAAACTGGTTATTTACAGACTGAGTTGTGTGGTACAGTTTCTCTTTAGGTTAAATAAGATTTTCCCAGCATTCTGTAAAGCCCATCAAACCTCTTAACAGTGGCTACTAAAGAGCGTGTTTGTGGGCGGAGCCTGGAGAGGAGGATTGTACCGAAGACTAAGACTAAGTCTACAGAGCTGAACTGGCATGCAGGAAATGCGGATATACTCAGAGAGGCAGCGGAGCCTGTGTGGCTTTTAGTCTGGTCCATGCAGGACAGTGAGCTGGAGTCTGCAGTAAATACAGCTATTAAAGGCTCCTCAGACATGAAATGGTCAAAGCTGAGTCCGTGGTCAGCGGGCTGGCCCTGCTGCGGCTGACAGACGGGGCGGAATGGAGCAGCTGGAGTGCAGGTGGAGGAGTGGACAGAGGGATGAGGGAAAAGAGAGAGAGGGAGAGAAAGAGAGCGAGATGAAGGCTCTACATCTCGTGAGAGGCCGGGTGGTGTTCGGCTAATCCGTTGGCCTGCAGGTTGTTCTCGTTCAGGCGGCGGACGCGGTACATTTCATAATGGATGCTGCTGGTGATGTCCTTAATGTTCTGCATGTGGGTTCTGTAGAGAACAGATAGAGAAGGCATCACATAAATACACTCACTAGGGCTGCACAGTATATTGTCTTCCAACTGTTACAGCAATATCAGTTTCAGATTCTGGTTCTCTGGATCTCTGCTGATCTGCTGATTCCCACCAATAGAACACTTCACTGCTGGCAGATTAAAGGGGGGTGGAAATAAGTTAAATGCTCACTACAGTAAACAAACTTAAATACGGCATTCCTCTGCAAATTTCTATAAATTTGCTAAATTTAACATATTGGAAAAAAAAATATATATATAAAATGCGCCCTAACTTTTGCACAAGTGACATTTTATATTTTTTTCCCCTCAATATGTTAAATTCAGCAAATAAGCAGTAACTGTACTTTAACATGTGCAGAAGTGTGATCTCAGCAGAGGATGTTTTAACTTATTTCAATCAACAAACGTCATTTTGCTTACGACTGTACAAAAAGACGCCGCTCACCTGATAAGGAGGTCCCGCAGGTAGGCAAACTCACAGTGAGCGATATTCTCAACTGCACAGAGGAATAAAAACTGATATTAAAAAATAAACCCACAAAGCAAACACTGGCCACTTATATTGCAACTGTACAAACTGATCACTGTACACTGTTCTACTGATGTGCAGAGTGACTGTGTATTGTTAATCTGGTGTTAAACCAAAACCAAAAGAAATGTTTCGTGCATCTTTAAGTTTGTAAATGATAATTAGAATTATTTTAAATTGCTTGTTTATTTAATTTGTTGTATTGCTGAATAACTTCTTATTCAGATTATTTAGCATTTTTAAATGTATTTTAATTCATTTTATATATATTTTTTTACTCATTTATTGCACTTACTGTAATTTAGATTTTTTATTTTTGATTTAATTCATTTTATACTTTTTTTACTTATTTATTGTACTTATTGTAATTTTGGTTTTTGATTTAATTCCTTTTATACATTTTTTTTACTCATTTATTGTACAATAAATTTAGATTTTTTTTATTGTAATTTAGATTTTTTGTCTTTTAAGCTGCGTATTTATTTTATTTTTTTCATTGATTTTACATGTTTATTTTTTCCCATTCCTTTCTGCAGGTTGTCTCACTGGCCACTAGGGGGGAGCGATGAGGCTCAGAGGAAGGAGGTGATGTGATAAGCCATCGAGCCCTTCAGTAATTTAATTTCTCCCGGAAAGATAAAGCTGACGGCCTGACAGACTGTGTGTGATGACTGTGTGGCTGTCTGAGAGAGGAGAACTGCGCGTATGAACAATAGATTACATCAGAGTCAATAAAGGAGCAGGAGAAAACCACCACAGAGCAGCGGCTCAGAAACGTTCACTGCAGGAAATGAAGGCTGGTTTAAAAAGATGGCTTTAAGAAGAGGAACTGAGCTCCTCACACAGATTAGACAGTAATTACCACATCATTTTGCTTATAAACTCGGAAATGCCTTTCACTGCTGCTAGAAAATGTGGCGAAATGCTTCAGCGGCTCAGAGACCTTCGAATGAGAGTCAGAGAACACAAAGGAAAGATTTGTCTTTTTAAAGTTTGATAACATTAACATGTTCATCAAACTATCTTCCTTCGTATGAAGAGCATGTTTTTCACATTGAGATTCTCACAGTCTGCCTCCCGCTTTTTACACACTTCATCCTGCATTTCCCAACTTCAGTTTCACTCCTTACTTCTTCCTCTCTACTTTTACAACCTTAAAGTTGTTTTTAATCTGTCATGCTGGAGTCACTCACTCGTGCTGCTGACAAAGTTCAGCACTGAAGTGCAGCCAAAAGAACGTTTATGTTTAATTTGGCCAAAATGTTTTGTTTTATGTGCAATGTACTATATACAACACGTTCTAGTGCAGGGGTGTCAAACTCAACCAGCAAAAGGGCCTTAATAAAAAATCTCATCAAATCTGTGGGCCAGAGAAAAAAAGGTTTTATCTCATCTTTAATCAATGTTGTGCTGTAATCCAAACCGGCCATTGTTTATTCAAAACATGCACAAACCTCAGCAGTAAAATACAGACACTTGTAGTAGACCTTGTAATATTACATGGACACTTGAAATATTCAAAATTTAGATGTGCCCTATTTGCTTGAACTGGACACCTGGCATCATTCCTTTGCTGCACGTTAGTAAGACTAACTGCCGAGCTAATGTTAAGTGTTTGTATTGATTAAACTGCGGCTGAAATGCATTTTGGTGATATGACTGGTGTGGAATTGCGGAGAATTGTGTAGAGCTGAGGTGTAATCGCTGTCCCATAGACTGCTGTTGGGGTAGGAGAGTTGGAGCACATTACGTTGCAGTACATGCTGGGAACTGTAGTGCAGCACACTGTGAAACAAGCTGATATTAATAAAAATGTACAATACTTTCGCGGGCAGGAAAGGATTGTGTTGCGGGCCTGATCTGGCCTGCAGGCCTTGTGTTTGACACATGGGTTCTAGAGCTTTAAGATAAAACAGCTGAAGGCTAACGTGGGGCAGTCGTGGGCTGGAGGTTAGGGAACCAGCCTTGTGCCCAGAAGGTTGCTGGTTTGATCCCCTGAGTCTACAGTACGTGACTGAAGTGCCCTTGAGAAAGGCACCTAACCCCAACTGCTCCCCGGGTGCTGTGGATAGGGCTGCCCACTGCTCCAGGCAAGTGTGCTCACTGCCCCCTAGTGTGTGTGTTCACTAGTGTGTATGTGTGCGTTTTACTGCACAGATGGGTTAAATGTGGAGAGGAAATTTCCCACGTTGTGGGGCTAATAAGGGTCAGTTAACTTATTGCTGTATCTGTATTGAAAGGTTTATCCAGACTTACAATGTTTGGCGTGTTGTACAAAAGCACTGCTTGATTAATGGAATTTAAACTTCATTTTTGACAGCTTATATTTTCTATATTAATTTTTTGTATAATTTAATTCATGTGACTAATGTAAGTTGTGCCATTATTAAAAATGTCATGCTTTATTCTGCACTTTGGGTGTTACTGGGCCAGTTTTTGTCAGTTTTGGACACAATTTTGTTGAGCTTGAGTCAGTTTTAGACTCAAAACTCGATGTGGCTCAGGTCGGGTCAGGCCTGGACAGAAAGGTCTCAGTCTGTATTAATGTTTGGAGCAACTTTTAAAGCTCTAGTTTAAACACTCAAGAGGTCATGTGAATGTTGCTAGTCTGGACTTCAACTACAAACATTTTGTGCTTGTGTTACCAAAAGAAATCTACATTTACTCCACTGTTTGGAGTTTCCCAACATCTCCAGCTCTTGGCGGTTCCGCTGAAGTACGGCACCACTGGCATAACATTCTGATCCTGTATCGTTAAAAACTTTGAAATATCTCCTTTGTTGTCGTTGTCCGTTTACCATCATAACGTAAAAGCAACATTAGACTGCCATGGTAGTGTTCTGAGAATGTAGGGGAGAGAACAGTGTATGAAAATGGAAAAGGCAGAAGAAAAAGTCTTCAAAAGCTGTACCTTCTATGGTTCCCCATTTGGTTTTCCTTCCCAACAGCCTCCTCCCGTTCACCTGGTACTCCTGATCGCTCCCGACAACGGCAAATGGAATCATCTCCTGCACAGAGACAGCAATCAGTACTGAACACTCAATCCATATTAATGAGAGCCATAATTCACTACCTTCAGTCTGTAAAGTAGGGCAAACTCAAAGAATTCAGACATATTCAGTGCTGTCCTCAACTTTTTTTGAAAAAAAGAAATGATTCATTAATTAATGACCTTAATCCACTATTGTAAATTTAGCCTGTTGTGCTGAGAAGCCTTATGCAAAACTGTGCAAAAGACATGAATCTGACTGCACTGTAAATAACATAAATAATAAACATAATAAACATTATATACAGTCATGCACACTTCTTTTTGTCAAAGGATAAAGTCTTCATAATATGTGTACTGAATCCCTTTATCATCATAATTGAAAAGTCATTTATAACAGTTTTTATAACTGATTCACTGCAAAGTAATCAAACTGAATCTTGGTGAAATTTGACATTTCATGATGCAACAAACTGTTTCATAAACAGCTGTATAAATGAACTGAATTGTTCGCATTTAAACATTTATATGTACCTTTAATAAACACAGTGCATCACTAATAATAGCTGAAAAAACACAAAAACCACATTCTAATTCAGCAGAGTGATAATCTGCTGCTGTCGTCCGCACTTACTCGTATTTTCTCATTGATCAGTCTGTCCTCTGCGTCCTCATCAAACTCCTTCTGAGGATAAACGTCGATGCTGTTGGCCCGCAGCTCTTCCCTGATCTGCAAACACACATGCACACACAATCAAACACTGCAGGGCAAAGAAGAATCACGCCTGAACACCTTTCTTTGCTTTGAGAGAACACACGCATACACAGACACATACCAGTAAACAGGAAAACTGGAATACTGCGCATTTGCAGCATGTGAGAGATGCCCAGGGTACAGCTGGACGTACAGACACAATTCAATCAATTAAAAGAATCTCGTACTATAAAACAAACCACAGAAATAACCCTGAATTATATTAACCCAATGGTATAAAACAAACTGTAAATACTGACCTGAAACTGAAATAACCTCAGGTTATATTAATCCTGTATGATTAACAAACCATATAAATAACCTTGGATTGTTTTAATCCTGTACTACAAAACAAACAGTAGAAATAACCCCAAGTTATATTAATCCCATATTATAAAAAATAGAAATGACCCCTGATTATTTTAATCCTGTGCTATAAAACAACCCATAGAAATAACCTTGTTTTTTCTTTTGACTCATTTACTATTTACTTGCATTCTCTGTTGCCCAAATCAAGTGTAGGACTCCTAACATTAAAATATGTAAAATGACAGAAACATGTTTCATTTCATCCAACAATACTGCTTTCACTTAAGACGGCTAGGCAGTTAATTAGGGTGAAGGAAATCACTAGGACCTCATTTACACCTGGTCACTTCATGCATCTTGAGTATCAGGATTATATCTGGAGGCCAAGCCACATTAAAATGCAAGTGTAAACGCACCCAAGATGCATTTAAAACAGATACAAATCTGACCCCTCAAACCTCTTCAGGAGGCCGACTTAGACGCATTTCAGCTATTATATGTTATAGCAGTGTATATGCATCCGTCTCTCCAAGACACATTCGACAATCAAAACCCCTCCCCATGCAGTACATCACTGGGTGTGTGATCCGGGTCTGCGAGGAAGATAACCATGAAAGACACACATGGTTGGAGAGCAGATCAAACAAAATGGTTAGTAGCAATATGGAAAGATACTACTGCGCTAAACAAAGTGCAAACGACTTGCATGTTCCATCCCACACAGCAATCGGATTTCAGTCTCACCAGAGATGCACTGAATATCAAGTGTAGATGCATGTGGCTAAAATCTTAACAGGATACAGTCCAGATACCAGTCACATGAAGTGACCAGGTGTAAACAGGGTCTCAGTCTAGACATGCTTTCTACTCGATGTACTGAGTGAACTGATTGCGAATCGCTCATAAACATTACAGGTGTCCTGTGGTAAAACACCTAATGTAATACTGATCCCATTCAAATCGTACCTAAATTACTACTAATAAAGCTAATGAAACAAACCCTCCTGAGTAGAGCTGCTACATCACTCTGTAACATTCATACAATCCACACAGTCATTCTGACAGACGGTAACACACTACAGGGAGTGTTGGGGGCCGTTTGGCTTCTACGGTTTCATTTAAAAAATACTTTATAACACTCTTTAATATTCATATGACAGTCTCGCACCAGGACATCTCACCGTCCTGTTTACACATGGTGCTCTGCTGTAGTTTGTTTCCATTAACAGCTCTCTAAATGAACGGCTGCCTTCCTTAATTATGCCTCTCACATTCTCTCCTCCAGGCCTGACCATCAAACAGCTCTTTAATATGCCCACGCTGTGCTGTCAAACACAGGAAGTGATGTCATGGAGCTCCGCCGCTGCCACGTCAACAGCTGAGCCTTGGCCAATCCCTGACCTCAGACGAAACCATTCTGTGAATCAGAAAACATTTCCAGCAGGACGTGACCCTTGAGGATCCTGCACATAAAATCCCGCCTTCCTTTTTTTTCCCCTTTCCTCTGGTCTGTAAGCGGAGCTGGAGCGAGTGAAATGTGGGCCGTGTTTCAGAAAGCTCACAGGGATTCCCGAACCCGGAGAGAGACAGAGATCTGCTGTCAGAGCTCACAACCTCCACTCTGGATACAACTGGCCAAAAGGCAAGAGCTTAAAAGGCCCACATCCAACATGTGTCTTGTATTTTATTTTTCCCAACTGAGGTCGGTTCATAACGTTTGTGTAGATGTACCAAAACCCAAAAAAGTTTTAAACAGGCTATTTTTGTTACTGTGCCTTTAAGATTTACGTAAATGAGCTCAGTTCTGATTGGCTGCTGTACTGTGCCTTTTTCAAAAAGCAGCCCAGGCAGAAAACATTCCTTATAACTACAGAGTGAATGGGTGGGGCTAATTTGCTTTCAGTGGAATGGGCGGGGCTAAACTACTGGAGGCTGACCATCCGAGAAGGGTCTGGTTGCAGACCTGCACTCTCAGCCTGACATGAACCGCCAGCCTATCAATGATGTCAGTGCCGCTCTGCCACGACAGTGTTTTGTCAGTTTTATGAGGAAAAACGGCGAAACACGAACTGCTGGGCAACAAGAGTTACACTGAACATATATTAACGTTGCCATACCGATAATAAAATAATTAAATATGGAAACTTTCAAAATAAAACCGACCACGATGACAAGACATGAATGTCGGGTTTATTCACAGAAAAAAACAAACAGGCTACCGCCGAAACTCACGAAAGCCAAGCTGAAGACTATTAGAACCGTTAGGAATAAAACCTGATGGTTTTGCTTCCTAATGGGAGTTGGCTTGACGGTTGCCGTTAGAGACCATTACGAACAAATGTATAAACACCTGACTAAATGATCTGAATCCTTTACACTGTGATATCAACCCATCAGGAAAACCCAGAATACCATTAGCGAATATTGGACACCACCAGGAACCAACAGACAATTTTAATGGGTTCTTTTAATGACTTTTCTGAACAGGGAGTTAAATTAAACGTAATTCTCTAACCGTGTTATGGACGGAAAATGGATTACGTGATGATGTCACTAAGCAGAAGTAGCCAAAAGCTACCGTGCCGCTGGGCTGCTTCTGCCGTTGTGGCAGAGAGTGCATGTGCACGTGTTGTCACAGGGGCTGAGAGCGCATGTCTGCAGCCAGACTCTATTGAAACATCCGGATATATAAATGAGTTGATTTTTGTGACATCACAAATACAACAAAATCAAAATGGGCTGTTTCTAAACGTGGACTGTGTGAACTGGAGAGGGAATGGTAGGTTTTAAAACTTTAACCGTGTTTAAAGAAAACACACATTGCCAAGTTTTCCAGTATAGGAAGGTCTTCCATGACACTGTATGACATTCTGTACCTGTAACTTTAAAAAAAAATGGACAAAAATGGGCGTGCAGTTAGCACCATGCTAAATGGTAGAGAATAAACAATAATTGTTAGCAACATCAGCTTTGTTGCTAACATGTATAGGAAACTAAAGAAAGAAACTGAACTGAATTTTCACCAAACTACCACTTGAACATTTACTGCAACAGCACGAATGTTCGACAACGAGGGTTTATCCCATCAACACGCCACGTTCTCTCAACACGTCTGAACGTTCTGCACAAAGCCTCTGCATTCCAAATGTATCCTAGGCAAAAAGAGAGTCCCCACAGACCCATATGAACCTGTCTTTACGGAGGAACATGCTCCAAGGCCCTTTAATGTAGCGCACTTTACTGTCAGCCAAAGAACCTTTGGCTCTCGTTCACGTTCAGATTCCACTGCTTTACGCTGGCCTGAGTCTGCTCCTTTGAAAGTGACTATAAGCGTCTCCAGACAACAAATTTACAGAGCCAGCTCGAGATCTACAAAAACAGCATAACATAGCAACCATAAAAACACAACCAGCTGTTCCGCATCATACAAAAAACACAACTTTCAGGGGCAGAAGCTCCAGCAAGACTGAGGAGCACATGAGGACAAGACGGTATTATAATTCCCTGTTAAAAATGCCAGTGAAAAAGGTGACCAACCAACAGAAACCAACCAAAAGCTCTAATTTACCACAATAAAGGGGTCAGGAAGCATCATCTCCCAGGAGAAAAGATTCTGAATGTCAGGCTTGAGATTTACTCTCCTGCATGGAAATAGAGTAGCTTAACCACTCAGCCAATTCAAAAAGCACATGCACAGCTCCAACACTGCTCTGTCCTGAACTACAAGCCTGTAAGAATGCTTAAAACGTGATGCTTGCAGCAGTAACAGCTACAGTTACAACAAACATGCATCATCAGGAATGAAATATATATTTATTTGTTTTAGTCTTTTTACTGAAAATAAAAATGTACAGATTTAACAGTCAGGCTACAAACACGAACAGACAAACTGCTCAGGGGATTCTTTCTCTACAGCGAAACAATTCACATCAAAAAACACTTTAAATGACTTTGAATTGATCAGAAATTTAGAAAAATTGGTGGAATTCCCCTTTAACAAAGTGTTCTAGAATCCAGCAAATTGTAACTGCACAGAAAATGCTTTTTTGGACATTTTTTAGACGTTTGCAGTAGGTTGAACATGTGTAAACTTGCCTTGCAGCAGTAATTTACTTCCACCATGACTTTTTAAAAAATGCTAATTATGTACGTTTATCAGCGGTATTAAAATGATACGACCATCACTCAGTTTTATATGCTAAAAACAGCCCATCTGTAGAAGCCCAGTGAGTGAAAAATCATGCTGTGGATCAAGAAGAAGTTTAATAAGGTAGGAAAAAGTTTTACAGTGCAAGTTCTGACCTTCTTCTTGAAGAAGTCTCTCTCCTCCAGGGTCAGTGTGTCCGCCTTCGCGATGACCGGGACGATGTTGACCACTTTACTGAGACGCCTCATAAATTCCACATCCAACGGCCTCAGACTGAGAGAGACACATAGAGAAAGAGAGTGAGAGTGAGAAAGAATGAGAGAGAATCCGTTGATTAATTGGAACCCACAGAAACTCATCTGGACTGTGGCTGGTCAGGAAGCTCTCTGCCCACTGTAAACAGCACTGTTACTGGTTAGAGCACGAGCTCCTAAACTGTTTGACCCAAAGGAGAGAACTGATACCAAACTGGGACCCCAAGTAGAAAATTATTACTAGACTGAGTTTAGGAAATATATATGCATCTATTAGTGCATAACATACAAATAAGAAAACCAACAACACTGTTGCATTTAAACAGCTGCTGGATGTTGGTGCTACCAAAAAAAAGGACACAGATGAGTCATTTTATGGAAATGTCCATTTTTGTGTCCCTAGTGTGTACAGATATATTACACTTAAAAAACATGTTAGGGTTACAATTTATTTATATTTTAAAATAAAATAATGTTATTTTAACAATTACACCTTCTTGAGCCTCAATTTAACAATATTGGTTTTTCAATCAATTATATAGAATTGATTGTATAGAATTACATAGAAAGAAAAAATTGCACTTATGACATCACTTGACTTCCTTTTACATATTTTCTGAGGATCTATGAAGAAAAGCATGTTAAGTCCACTGTGTCTTTCAGTTATCAGAGATTTTCTCTTTTAGTTCATGATTTCATATGAAGCTTCAGCTGAAGTCACTGGTGTGACCGACTTTATTCTTAGGTAACTGGGAAAAAATAGAATCCAAATGGATTAAATTACATATTTTAGTGGACATTCCATGAATGACAACATGTGGTTTGATGTTCTGTAGCAGCCATTCTGGTGTTACCTTTCTAATGAGTAACACCAATGACGATCAGTGACACCAGTGACTCCTATGGAGAGATAAAAAAGTGGACATTTCTGTAGAATGACCCAAGTTCTTAAAAACTCACTGGCAGTGGACAGCAGGAACGTGTGAGACTGTCTAGGCGTCTTACTGACGCAGATCTCTTGCGTGTGGTAAATAACCGCACTGTTTACAGAAGCTGCCCAGCAAAAATTTGTGAACAGGCTGAAGGGAAAATAAACAGTCACAACCATTCACTTTCAGCACATAATGAATTTTAGTTACTACTTTCACCGTTATTAGTCGTTTGTGTGAAATATATTGCAGAATTATACAAAATATATTGTAGAAAAGAACAAAAGAGCAAGAGAACAACAGAAAACAGTCTCAACTAAACATGTAAGTATTCTAATAAAGATCATTATAAAATAAGCAAATAAATAATATTTATCATTATTATTTTAGAATCAAAATAAAGCATCAGACATATGAATAAAATAATAAATAGATAACAAATAAAAGTAAATAAATAATACAAAAATAAGTATGCAAAAGCCTTACGCCACTTCATGAAACACTGTACTGTGACTGCATGTCTCTACTGGTAAATTGTTTTAGGTGCATTAACATCAAACATCATATTTTGATTGTTATGAATTATTGTTTACCATACGTATAATGATATTTATATATATATATAATATGTCATTTGAATGTATTTATTTGTTGTTGTTAATAATAATAATAATAATAATATCATCATCATCATCAATATTATTATTATTGTTATTATATCGGTAATGGTTGGTATAGTGTACTGGGTAACACCTCTGCCTTCTACACTGTAGACTGGGGTTCAATCCCCAACTTTATCACATAATTTTCTGTACTGTCACAGAAAAGCATTACATTTTGAAGCTTTAACTTGACTGACAGGCTTGTGGATCAAATGACAAAGAGTCCCGTCTCTCTAGGAGAGGACAGGTCCATGTGGTAATCTAAAACGGCTCAGATGTGCCTTTATTCCTGGATCGAAGACAACCTGAAATGAATGGAATTGAATAGGGAGTTTCTCTCAAATGGTCCCCTCATGCTGGAGCAGCTCACTTCAAATGGTGCGCTTTGGAAGGCAAAGCCTGGGGCCTGGGTTAAATAAGCCTTTTTTGGGGCTGAACATAACTACATTCAGAGGGAGGAATAACAGCTCCCCCTACAGGACACTAAAGATACATGTTTTACACAGTAAAGAAACTTCCTCCTCTTCATAAACTTACATATTTGTCCGTGAATAAGAACTTCTGAGCTGTAGTCTGCCTTAACCCTTAGAACTCCAGAATATTTTTTGGGGCATTTTGGGTCAATTACAATTGCAATTATACCGTATTTACATGAGTCAGTCACACATGCCATACGTTATTTTCAGGAGACCCTGGGCTACTCAGATATGCCATTGTTTGACATGTAAATGCTAAAAGAAATTTGATATCTTTATGAATTTGGGTCATTTCTGATCAAAAATTTACCTAGCGCCTGCTATATTTGCAATTTGTTGCTTATAGAGATCTTGAAAACAAGTTGCACCTCAGATACCTTTTCAGAAATTGTTAGTCTGGGGTGTCTGTGAGCTGTAAGCGCAATAATTTAGATGGTGATTAATTCTGTTGGTTATTATGAGTAAAAATAAACAATTATTATAAGGCAGCCATGTTTTTTTTTATTGATTTTCTGTCCTCTTGGATTCATGCTGAGTGCTAAAACTCTGATACACAGCAAGACAGGCTTTATTTTTAATTACAAATTGAGTTGCATATTTAATATCGGATATTTTTATACTCAAAATCAATGTAAACTGAAAGAAACTTAAATATGTCTTAGCTCAGACAGGAATCGACTGCATGGCTGGCGTTTAATCTCACTTACAGAAGTGTGATTGCATTTGAGTCTTTTTTTATGCATATCTAGCTGTAAATTTCTGAATATCAGCACTAAACTGTCTGAGTCAATCTGAGACACGAGAAGTTGTTTTATATCGTACACGTGGAGTTTTGACATTTAAATGGACATTTAAATGGAGGTCAATGCAGGATCTGAACGGTGGTTTTCTGAACTGGATTACTGACTGGATCCTCGCTAAAACTTCAGAAAGTCACTCTGGACACACAGGGTAAGTCCTGATGCTGACTGTGATGTGTGAATTGCGTCGCTGTTTTTAACGCTGCTCGGGAAAATATAATCAAAGCCAGAATGCACAGCCTCTATTTGTCTCTGCCTTATGGTACTAGACACTATACTCTATCTTGGCATATATACATACATTCAATTCATACCAGCCAATTAACTGACACCACATGTGCATCAGGCTTGAGCAAGATTAGCCTTATCATAGTATTTTATACACTTCTGCATGTGCCAAAGCATACAGATCACTCATAACGATAAAATAGTTTTTCTTCAATGTTGTAATGTTTACATCTGCATTGATGCTCTGATAAATGAGGGTTGATAAATGTGGTTTAGAGCTATGTAAACATTACAAGTCATTAAAATACACACTGCACTCTTCTGCGTTAAATGTCCTGGACAAACCCCAATAAAGATAAACAACAAACTAAAAGTGAAAAACAGCAACAAGGTTTGCATCATCTGTTTGTGACTGGACGTACGCCCAACTTCATCTACAATTACTCCTGAACTGGAGAGACCGCTTCCTAAGAGAGAACACAGCAGGGATTTATATACATAAACAGAGGCAAACTATTAGAGCTTGGCCTTCAGTTCAGGTCGTAAATGTCAAAACAAGAGAAAAAAACATGATAATGCTGATTACGGCTAGTGCAGATATATGTGATTCTGTTAGTGTAGATCCCTATGGGATTCTAGTAGCATGTTAGCCCTAAGCTAACGGTGACGCACATTAACATTTTTGGCCTTTCTGTATTACATTTGTAACACATAATCCAAATGTATTTTACCAGGAGGCAGCTTTACAGCGACTCAGTAAGAAGCCATCATATAGAGCTGCTGCTGTTCTCCACTTCTAACAACTGAAATGCACTGGTTTAATCCGACTACCACTTGTATTCACTGTAGGTGACGCATGTAAGACTTAGAGAAGGTTCTGGAGTAACCATTTTTCCTCATACAACTGTTCCACCCATTGTAAATCAAAAAGTGATCAGTGATTCCTCTGTTCTTTCCTAATTATGTTGGTACTGAATCTATTTTAAGGCCTTCAGTTTAGTGCCTGAAGTCCTAACCAATGGGAGAGCTTGCTTGACTGTATCTACATAAATATCATGGATAAAAAATCTTGAGTGGACAAATTTTCCATTGGGCATTTCAAGATTTTAACCCTAACTTTTTTTTTAACTTTTCAATCAAAAGTTTATTAAATACAAGTATTACTACAATACTTGCAGAGTTCACATACATCGCTTGTGCTGTTTATATTAAATAAATAAGAAATAAAAATTAGACATGTTCTTTTTGTATTTCACAGAAATCTTCAGGCCTTTCATTCATGTTCAGGCCCAAACATAGTGGAAGGGCAAAAAATGTCCCCAAATAATATTGTCAGTGTAATAAATATTATGCACATTTTAAATCCTATAGCTGATACCATTTACCTTGATGTGTTCTCTTCAAGCTCAACAGTTGTTTCATAACTCCAACTAACTCCATTTAGAGCAAAATTTGTTTCCGAGTCAATGAGGGCAAAAAACACCCCTGAAAGATACATTTTCCACCCAGAATAGCAGTGGCAGGATACTGTGTGTGTGTGTGTGTGTGTGTGTGTGTGTGTGTGTGTGTGTGTGTGTGTACTGACCAATGTCCTGTTGGGGGGATGAAGTAAATGCAGCAGTGAACACGCGAGTCCGGGATTCTCTTCTTCCTCTCGATGTTGATCTCCTCCTGCAGGTACTGCTCATACTGGTCATTTATGAACTTCATTATGGGCTGCCAGCTGGAAGGGGAGGTCATTTGAATAAGTCAGGAGCAAAAATCAACAGGCAGGGTGGCAAATACACCTGCCACCTGTTAAATGTGAGCAAATATTTACATTTGACAGGTAGATTAGCTTCACCCGCCAGCCACTCTGGCACGGTATCTTAATAACATAAGCTACACAGAATCGGCTTAGGCCAATGCTAACATTGCTGAAAGCAAATGTAATGTGAAATGAACCACTCAGATGAAAAGCTGAAGTAGAATTGCTCAGTAGTTTTAGGAAATGGATCAATTTATGAAACAAATAAACAGAGAAGTCCAAAATATGTTGCCTCTGCAAACCGGTAACAACAGTTGGATAGCATAGTGGATAACACCACCACTTCGACCACCCATTTACAATATGAGCCTGTCTACTAGTACTGAATAAATGTAAAGTTGCTTAACTTCTATGAATATTAAAAATGATTACTAAACATTCCACCGACTTATTATAAAATGTTATTACTAGAAGTAGTATTAGCGCTGTTAGAGTAGTTATCAGATTATCTAGGACACTGTTGGCTCTCTATATGTGAAATGTTGTGAAACTAAGTTGAGCTGCTAGCAAGCAATGATGGGTGAGATGAAACCCACTGCTGTTAAAGCATTTCACACATCTCCATAAAGACGGCTGTGCCGAGGTAAAATGGACAACTGCAGCTTCAAAAAACTGTGTACCACAGTTGCACTTTTATAAATTTGTTTGTTCACTTACGAAGACAAAAATTCAGTTCGCCTCTGGTTTTGCAAATCACACACATTTCTTTTGAATTATATTCTATTAATGTTATTGGAGAAAAATGTATAGCTTAACTGAGGGACTTTCAAGACAGGTAGAAATTGCATCTTATGGCTGGTGTGAAACTGGGATTAATTTGCCATCGTGACAACAGGCCACGCCACAAACAGGAGTGCTTCTTTACCAGTTCTCATTGTTGATCTGATCTCCGAAGCCTGGTGTGTCTATCACAGTCAACTTCATCCTCACTCCTTTCTCTTCAATATCTGCAGAGAAGAGAGACAGGTCTTCATCAGTGTTCGGTCCTTGTTCAAGACTCCTAACACTACCTTCTCCTACCTGTGTAAAATGATACTGTAAGTCGCTCTGGATAAGAGTGTCTGCCAAATGCTGCAAATGTAATTGTCTAACTTATTTTTTCTCGACAATCAACTATTTCATACTAAACCACTCTGAATGACTATTTACATCTCAAGGGTTTTGCAGAAATTCCCCATTAAAACAGCAAATATTACAGAAACTACATGGAGGTATTATATGTAATTTACAATCATGTGCTTTTATTGGACAGTCTCATTTAAAGTACTACCTTAGTCCTACCAAAAAAAAAAATATTCTGAATTTGTTCCTAAAACACGTTTTCAGCACTTGTTCAATGTACCTTATTCATCAAAGCTGCACAGAAACAAGCACACATGCACAAGTACCATACTTACAAATCATTTACAACAGGCACACCCCAATTTGCCCCCATATACATATAATTTACATGAAGCACCCCCTTCTTCATGCAGATGTTCTGAGAGTGAGTCAATTAAACACAACTCTTAGCTCATAAGCCAATGGTTGTCCCCACAGGTGGAGCCTGGGGTCAAGCAGAAGATGCACTGCCCCATGGCCAAAGGTTAATCATGTTCATTAAACACTGTCTGCTTCTACTGAACTATATGCTATGTTTGTATTTTAGGGAGGTAGTTATTTACTGTATCATTAGTACAAAGCAAAAGTATTTTAATGGAATGTGTAGTCACATGTATGTTCGTGGAAAGTTATCACTATTTTCTATTTTTTACTGCTGTTGCTGGTATTATTGACAAATTTGATTATTTAATAGCAAATCAGTAATTTTTCCGATTGTTAAAATATTACATTAGAGATGGACCGATCAGTGTTAGCAAATTAGCATTAGCAAATGAGACAACAATACCGACCTACTGATTCTGTTAAACAGCAAAAATTAGTTGAATATTAAATGTTACTGCAAAACTGTCCTCCTGCTGAATGATGGGTTTTTAAAAGTACTGAAAAGGCTAAACGGGCGAGCAAATGATTCCTTTTTGTAGTTCTGCAGCTTCTTTTCATTTTCAGCCCCTACCAAAGCTGCAGATAATGAAGCTAGTGTAGGGAAAGCTAAGCTAAGATTAGCGCTCGGATAACGTGCTAAGAGAAACCAATCCTCAAAGCTTTGACAACAAACCGCATTAATTACAGCTCTACATGCTCACACAGTGAGTTCAGAGTGACATAAGAGCCAAATATGTAATACACTTCAGGAGAAATGTTTTTCATTAGTGAAATAGATATGACGAGGCTGAACTCGGCTTCCTATCCGCCAGCTTCTTGTTCAAATTGTCCCATTCCACCTGAAATGGTGCAGCAGATACATTCTGGTGCCTCAGGCGAAATACATGGCTCATATGTTTCACATCACTGATCAGCTCTCAGGATGGGCGAAGTTAGGGAAATACTGGCCGATCGCATATTTGGGCTGAAAATCAGCCGACACGATACACAGCCAATGTATCCTTCCTTTCCTACGTTACATTGATATTTACCGCACCTCTACCAGGCGCAAGTTTGATCGTATCGCTACAGCGAAGATTAAACTGATCAATAATAAAAGTGTTGGTGAAATCTGACCGTATGCAACTTTGATGTTTGATGCACTGTTCATGCTCATGTTCACTAGCACACTAAGCACTGCCCCTATGAAATGTTCGTACATCAGGCTGGACATCTGCACCCTTACATTTAGTCACACTTTCATGTTTTATACATCACTCAAAAGTGAATAAGGTCAAATCCACGTTAACAAATGCATTTGACAAAAAAGCCGTTTGACTAAAAGACTAAAAGTGGTGAAACTGCAGTCAGAAGGAGGCAAAATTTTTCCATCATATTTTTTTTGCCATATTTGCTTGTTCCCAATGTCAACAGTTTTGCTTTCAAATTACACATTTTTAAAGAAAAATATCAACCAAACATGCTAACGTGGTTAACAATGAATGGAAGGTAGCACCAATTAGCACGCCATTCCACCATTAACTGGTGGACATTCTCTTTCATTCATTGTAAACAAGATTAGCATTTTGATTGCACCATTTCTTTAAACTCAAAATGACTTGTTATAAAAACTGCCTGACTGCATGAAGAAGAAACAAAAGCATCTCCATATGTATGCGTGTTTGAGTCAGGAGTGTGGGCGGCTGTTGAGAGGCTTCACCATGGCTGATGGATTTGATCTCGATGGTTTTGGGGATGCGTTCTTCAGCTGTGCCCATCACTGACTTTCGGCTCACTTTGGACTTGAAGAGTGTGTTCATCAGCGTAGACTTCCCCAAACCGCTTTGTCCTGCATGCACACGCACACGCGCACACACACACAAACACACACACACACACACACACACACACACACACACACACAAACAAACACACACACACACACAACACATAACTATTAACACAACTCAAACTGAGGCTGCTCTTTTAAAACAACTGTGCGACAGAAAGAAAGAAGCATGAGCGGACAAAAGCCAGCTCCCCAGAGCTATTCATACAAACACATGCACATTCCAACATAAACCAAATAAAGTCCAGACACCTCAAAAATCCAAACAACACACGATAAGCAACCGCCCCAAACTCGGACACGACCATACCAAAATAGGTATATATACTGAATGCAATTCAAATATCCATCTAAAACTACTGGCAGAGATTAAATAGCCATACATCAAACCCCCATTTGCTCTGACTGTAGCAGAATGTCATTTATAGCATAATGCAAAGTCAGAGGCCATCCTTCATTAATTTAATGTGCACTGCATGCCAGATTAAAAGATAAAGACTGCTGTACTTGTTGCAGTTGGACTAAATCATACACAGCTGTGCGATAAAATCAATACACAGGACAGGTCTGAGACTATCAATAATAACAATATGCTTTCTGTTTGGATCTTTTGCTAATGGTTTAAAATTGTGGTTATTTGTTGTGGATATCTAAATAGTAGCCTAAAAATGGTTTAAAGATGATTAAGCTTAGCTGTAGGTTAGCTTTAACTGCGCACCAGGCTAGCTCAGTTTTAGCTCTTAAGATTGGACTGAAGACTCTGAAGACCACGCTTCAGCTTTGAAGGCTGGACTGAAGGCTCTAAAGGCTGGGCCCATTGGCTCCGAGGGCTCTGATGGACGGGCTGAAGGATCTGAAAGTGGGGCAGGAAGCTCTGAAAGCTGAACTGAAGGCTCTTAAGGCTGGGCAGAAAGCTCTAAATGCTAGACTAGAGGCTGTGAAGGCTGTGCAGAAAGCTCTAAAGGCCTGGCTATATGTTCTGAAGGCTGGGATAGAGGATCTGCAGGCTGAGCAGAAAGCTCTAAAGGCTGGGCTAGAGGCTCTGAAGGCTCAGCAGAAAGCTCTAAATGCTGGGCTAGAAGCTCTAAAGGCTGGGCAGAAAGCTCTAAAGGCTGTGCTAGAGGCTCTGTAGTCTGGGCAGAAAGCTCTAAAGCCTGGGCGAGAGGATCTGCAGCCTGGTCAGGAAGCTCTAAAGGCTGGGCAGAAAGCTCTAAAGGCTGTGCTAGAGGCTCTGTAGTCTGGGCAGGAAGCTCTAAAGGCTGGGCAGAAAGCTCTAAAGGCTGGGCTAGAGGTTCTGGCTGTGCTAAGCAGGTTAAATAAACAGACAGCCTGACCTCCAGAGCTGCATGAAGCAGCTGCAGCTGTACAGGGACACTGAGTTCATTCTGACACTCTAGCCTTTATCCACCAATTCAAAATCATTCACTAGCACTGAACCATCTCACAGGCTCAGCTCAGCTTTTAATCCTTTCTAAGCCAAACAAATGTCATCATATTATGAAAAAGCAAGCACCTGGAATACATATGAACAGCAACACCCTAACAACCACCTGGTAATGTCCTAGCAACAACCTGAAGCTGGACAATCACTCTGCATTTTCTTTAGGAAATGCACTTTTCTGGCTTGTCAGTAATATTATGTTATGCTAATGCCTAATATTTTATAACTCGATTTTAGCATGTCTAGTGTAAACTAAAACAGTAGGTGCCGCTGACGCAGCATACCAGCCCCAGTTTTGTTAACATGCCATAGTAAAATGCCCCAGTCCTGGTATGCCATCACACTCCAGCTGTCATCAGGCCCCTTTCCCCCACCTCTTTATCAATCCGTCACAGCTACGTGAAAGAATTCAGAGCTTGTAAACAATGCTGTTTATCAACCACAGACATTACTCAGTAAAACAAACCAGAGGACCATCCATAGCTTTAAAACTCAGCTTATCTTCAGAAAAAAATGTGTGCAGAATTAGCTATTAAAACATACTCCTCCAATCCTGTGAATAGCACGCCTCTAACAACTTTACTAAACAATGTATTATAAACGGTATAAAAGGTCATATAGGCCATTAAATTAAAAAGCGTTAAAGTAGGTTTTCCTGTTTGACTGACATCTGATTCAGTATCAACTACAGCATTCACCTTTTGACTCATACACTGTTATACAACAGCTTTATGGCACTTAATTTCAGTGAAATAAGACACATGCAAAGCCAAAAACAGCCTCAGGAAAACAGAATTTACTTTCATTTTCACACAGACAGAAGGGACACACTAACATAATGGTGGCATGTAACTGACTGCTGTTTAAAGTTGCCAGGGTTTCTTTAAAGTCAATCACATGTTGTGGTATTCAGTGTTCTGGAAAATTAAAGCTTGGACTACCAACTCCTCGGTATATTAAAGGATTCCATCATTAGACGCCTTTTCGTAATTCATGCCAATTTCCTAAAAGGGTTCTATCAGCTTACATTAAATTACAGGGATTTTGGAAAACCATAAACGTTTAATTAGAAAGATCAGTGCAAAAAATGCAATAAACTGCAACTTTCTTGGTCTAGCTAACCGACTATAGCATATATATATATATATATATATATATATATATATATATATATATATATGTATGTATGTATTTATTTACGTTTATCATGTTTATTAACAGAGGGAAACAGCTATACATACATACATACATATAAATAGCTGTTTCCCTCTGTTAATAAACATGATAAACGTGTAAATCTCTCCAGTAATAGAGGGACGAAAAACACGCCAGTGTGTTCAGTGTCCTATTATGTTCTAAAATGTTCATACGTTCCACTTCAAACTGTAATACAATACAGGAAGTGTAGGAGGTGATACTTCTTCTATTGTTTTATTTAAAAAGCTCTCAATAATGCTTCATAATGCTCATATGATCTACATGGTCATTCTGACAGAATGTAATACACTACAGGAGGATTAGGGGTTGATATTGTTTTATTTACAGCACTTCACAATGCTCTATAATATCCATATGATCCATACAGTCATTCTGACAGACTGTAATACTGTACAGGAAGCGTAGGGGCCAATTTGGTTTCTACTTTTGTTGGACTGTAAAAGAAACACAGCTTGTCACACAGAAGGAACTCTGAAAAATGATGGCAGTAAAGGGGGAAGAAAAGAGGGTGGTAGAAGTCAATTAACCGAATACAAGTTAATTAATAACAGAAATAATTCTTATGCGCAGTGCTAGTGTTTAGAGGGAGGTTAATATAGAAGTGCAGTTTCCTCACCCACTACCATGATGTTGAGTTCGAAGCCTTGCTTCATGGCCTTTCTCCTCATCTGCTCCAGGATGGCATCAATGCCCACATAGCTGAAGTCCACACTGGGCTTCTCTGGGCATGCAGTCGGGGGCATTTCTGAAATTACTGGCTCCGCCATACTGCTGCTGCTGCTGCTGCTGCTGCTGCTGTAGCTGGAAATAAACTCGGACCCTGCGGATACAGACAGAAGAATGGCATGCAGTGAGAATCTGAGAACAAGTGCGGATGGAGTCATTAATTATGTTAATCATGTACATTCTCCAACAGATTGAGCAGAGGGGCGTGAGGTGATTCATATTTTTAAATGATCTAAAAAAAATCTATGCATTATTATTATTATTATTAATATTATTAATCTACGCTATAAATGTGAATATAAACTTGAATTACAAATAATTTTAACTACTGTTCAAAAGGGTGGAATCCATTGTTATATTTATAATTGCTGTTACTAACTTATAGTGTAGATTGGCAGACTGAAACACTATAAGATGGACATCAGAAGGTACTTTAAGATGTTTAATTCAAATATTAATTTTTTTGAGAACACCAAGAACTTTGCGCTACGCTCTGATTGGCTGCCCTGCATTGTGTCTCATTCGAAAAGCTGAAACACTATAATTCCAGCATAAACGGCCAGAGATAAACTGCTGTAGACTGAATAGGTGGATATATGTAAATGTGATGTGTGACAAAAACAGTGAATTCAAAATGGGCTGTTTTTGCAGTCTCCTTATCCTTATTGTTTAAGGAGGCTGCAAAACTGGGGAGTGAATGACACATTTTGAAACTTCAACAATGTTTACATACTACATAAATGCCTCAGATTAAAGAGAAGTGAGAGAAAAATCAGTTTTGCCCTTTAATAATTAAATAATAAAATACTGATACATGGACCTCAGAGTATCAGTGCTATTTTCACATCACATTAAATCACGTTTGTCACATCACATTTACACAGGGGCGAAGGTGAGTGAAAATCTTAGGTGCGTAGCCCCCTTGTAGAATTTAAATACAAAAAAAAAGAAGAAAAAAGAAATGTATATACACAGACTCTAAATATATACACATATACACAATATACACTACTATTTCCAATGTACAGTATTAAGTTATGAAGTAAAACTATGATATGTATGTGCAGGTAGTGAGTCTGAGGTGGATAAATGACATGCAGGTATACAGGGGATAGAACACTGATATAGAAACCTTCCAGATTATACAAGATACGGATAAAAGATGTACAAGATGTCAATCTATATGTGTTTTGTTCTCCCAATGTATTTTTAAGCTGTGCTGTATCTATTTTTTAATGGCTAAACATGTAAGGTAGTAATCAGCATGATGTTATTTTCAGAATGAGAATTGGCAGCTTTTCACCTTCACTGAAGGCAAAACTAGCTTTTTTTGACTGAACTGTTCCATAAAGCAACATTTAGAAGGAGCAAACCATGACCATGAACAAACACTTTAGAAAAAGAGGCACTTTTCCCACTTCATAATGTCACAACATTCTCATCTCTCAAAAGAAAATCGAATAAACGTTCAAGCCAGAAGCCACCAGATGACACTCCAAATATAAGAAGACAAACTGTTCGAGCCACAGAAAGTAGTAGACAATGTGTTTTACAGCGTTGTAGAGGTTTTGTTGGAGAAACAGTGGTTCGACACAGCTGGGAAATAGACATAATAAACACAAGACACACTTAAACATGGAGTTTCAGGCTGAAGCTAGAGCAGCCACTGATTTGTGTAAATATCCATACGTTTGGACCCTATTATAGAGCCAAAAATGTTCTCATTCATCTACTAATGCATCCGTCTAATCCAGCATTAATCCATCACCAGGGAGCAGGATCGCATAAAGCTAAATACTTACTCACGCCCGAGTGTAGTACGCCATTACATCATTCTCAGAGCATGTAAAAACATATGTAAGCATGCATGAAAGAGATTAACTCTCCAAGATTCAGTTACAGAAATATTCTAGCATTTTTCAACCTCATTTCTATCCACTGCATTTACAGTCTACAGCTGATTACCACGTACTATAATCTGCATGTAACAGACTTTGTAGAACAGAGGCCAGAAGGCAGATCTGAACACTATACACTTCTGAATATCACTGAAACGAATCAGGAACAAACAGAAATTTCGAAACCAATCCAACACCAGGTGGAGCTCAAAGTAGGGGGTGAAAGTGTGCTTGTCAATACTGTCTCAGTATTTGGAGGCCGACTGAGTCAGTCACTAGGCTGTCCCATTTTTAAGGCTCCATCATGTGGCTGAGAAATGTGTCCTTCTTTTCCGGATCCAGGTGGATCCTTCGCCAGCCAACATATCCCAAGGTTTACTCCATGCCAGCCAGGATTCGGGAACATGGAGCCATCAGCAGAGGAGCAAACGGTGGCTGAGGAGTTCACTTTTAAATGTAAGTATTGGGTTTAAACGGAGTCGAATAGCTGACGATACAAATGTTAAAAAAGCCAATGTTGTCTGAAGCAAAACTTACGCAGAGAGAAGCATCTCCAGCTCTAATGAGTGAAAAAATAAAAAAAACTAAAAGTAAAGTTTCTGGCTCCATCTTTAAAGAACTTTAAAGGAAACTGACAGGAGCGGCATTTGGTGAGGCAATGATAAGGGCGGGAACAGAGGTGCTGTGACACAAACAGGAAATCCGCCGTAGAGCAGACCGTCTCATTTCGGTTCAGCCTTTGTGGGTCTACGCAGCCTTTGAAGGATGCAGCCCCAGAAATGGGACACAGCTGTGAATGAACAACATTATGTTATCTGCACTTACTTGTGGTATAACAGTACACACTTCATTCTTTAGCAAAGAAAATGGTTCTATATAGAACCATGAACATTCAAAGAACCCTGTGCATGATTAAATGGTTGTTTGCATCTTGGAACCTTAAAAAGGGTTCTATACAGCACCAAAAAGCATTCTTCTACTGTAACAATATCAAGCTTGTAACTATAGAAGAACCCTTTTTGGTGCTATATAGAACCACATACAGCACATTCTCCATCAATCTGAAGAACGCTTTCACAACACAAAGGACCCTATAATCCTGCAAAGGGTTCTTTGACTGTTTATGGTTCTACATAGATCCACTTTCTTTACTAAAGAACAATCTTTTTAAAGAGCGTATATAGGTCATAACCACCCATTACCACTGCTGTCGTTACTGACTGAACTCCAGATGTTAAAAGAGCACTCCAGGGGAGTCTTGGGTGGGTTTTAGAGGGGAGTGTCCTTTGTTTGCAGCGGATTTTGCCGCAATCCAGCACCACAATTTACGTTGCGAGATCTTGTCTGTCCCCACTAGACTAGGAAACATGAAATTACTGTCTGTGATAAACGGCCATATGCTACAAATGCAGCAGATGGAGATTTAGTTTAGAAAAAAAGGCTGGAGTATTCCTTTAAAACAGTCCTTCACTGTGCACTTCCAATGCAGGCAAAGAGCAAATTCATGTTTTATCTCAAAATGAAACCATTCAACAGCTCAAAAACAAGTTTTACAGGTACTAGATGAAGGAGAAATGCCTTTAAACAGAGTTTACACGCGTCGTATCAAAAATCAACTGCAACAAAGCTTCCTGAACACACATTCAGACTTCAGTGCCGAAAAACGTTCCATGGCTTTAGCAGCAGTCATGAGAGTGAAGCTCCTGACAGTATAGGATAACAGCCCTTAAAAGCCCTTCACAAAGAGATATTATGATGAATTAAGTTGGTTTTAATGGGCTCAAAAATGTAAGCTATGTCCCTTTAAATGGAGAGCTAACGTACACTGTATATGCACAGATAATCTAATAACTCTGAGGAATGTTTCCGATCAAGTTTCACTACTTTCCAGAAGACACAACCTGCTGGATGAGGCTAATTCACAAAGCAGGATTTCTCAGCCAGATAACTGTCTAATGAGAGGAAAGCTGAGTAGCGTTCTTATTAGACAATCCTCACTCTGGGCTTAAATTACCCAGCTCATTGAAACCTGTAGCTGCTTTACACAGCCGACAAAGTCGCTTCCTTTCAATAGTGCAGGAGGAATGGCTGGTTAAAAAATAAATAAATAAAAAAAAAAGAACAAGGAACAAAAATCCCCAGGATTGTAACCTGACCCACTGGCAGCTCCTGGCCTGGCACCAGCTATACAACTAACGCACGCACATGTCCGCCAAGGCAGCCAGCAACCAACACATTCCTCAACACACAAAAAACTTTGGTGTGTTAAACTACAGCCAAACCGATCATCAGCATAGAACATACTGTTACAGTTGTCTGTCACTGTTAAAATAACTGCAACTAAAACTGCACTGAATGTCCCTTATATAGGCAAATGTGATCATTAAAAAACTTGAAAATCACGAGGCCGCAGAACAAACATCGTTTCCAATTTTGCATGTTCTGCATGTTCCAAACAATGAGTGTATATGGATCATTTACTGAATTGGTTTGAAGTCAGGGCTAAAAGATATTTCACTTAACTATGTTTATTTTATTAAAATAAATGACCGAACATTCAATTTTTATCACTCACAAAACAATCGTAACACTACTGAAACTTAACCAAATGTTTCGGTAGCAATAATTTTAGCAGAACTCAAAAATGTTAGCCAGTTCATGAGTAGCACAGATTTGAACATCTGTATACACATAAAGTGTTAACATTTTTCATTAAAACACAAAAATGTGTATTTAAATGCAGAAAATGTGTTTCGGTAGTGACAGTTCTTAAAGTTTCACACTTATTTTCAGTCTTTGGGACATTTACTTCAAAACAATGAGATCTAACTGCTCACCATGTGGCCACGAGAACAGGGTTGCAGCCTCACTTCCTGCTCTAGAATGCAGGGGTGTGGCTAAAATAGGGCCCCGCATACAGACTAAAACTCTGTTCCTGGTAGTGACAGGAAAACAAGGAACAACATTTTTTTTTTATCTTTTTTGTAGATAAAAAAAAAAACTCTAAATCTTGCAACTAAATCCAAATCCTTCAACTTCACTTTTAAAGAACTCAAAAAGATCTTTTAAAAAAACAACAAAACACACAAAATAAATTTACAAGTGTACATTTAGGGGTTAGGGTGGGAGACGGACAATCTCAATAGAAAGTAGCATATAAATGACATATATGATATGAATTTTGTGTATATATAGC